ATTTCTCGGCTGTTTACAGATGGATTTGTTCAAACTTGGTATATACATTAAAAGACATTATGGGACCTTGATGCAAATAATTTTGTTTTTCAGATAAGATTCAAAATGGCTGACTGGCGGCCATTTTGTATTAATGAATGTGGTTCTCGTGCCATATCTCTGACTTGCTTTCACTGATTATGTTCAAATTTTAAAAATTCATTATACATCATGTCATAGATAGACAGATATATTGGTTTGACGATTCTATTCAAAATGGCCGAATAGTGGTCATTTTTGTGCTAAACAATCATCAAATATCAAGCATTTCTGGCATTTATAGATGGATTTCGTGCAAACTTGGTACATACATTAGACATTACGGATTCCTGATGCACGTCATTTTATTTTTCAGATTGAATTCAAAATGGCTGACTGGTGGCCATTTTGTTTTAATGATTGGGCTTCTAGAGCCATATCTCGTAAATGCTTTTTATGATTATATTCAAATTTGATATATTCGTTATACATCATGTTTACCGGTATATATATACATGTATTCAAAATGGCCGATTTTGAATGCTGTTCAAAAGCAATATCTCTCAATATGGACAGCTACTTGTTAAAATTGTTATTGTAGGAATAAGTTGCAAGCCATCATGATGTCAGCATGTGATCTAAGTGCCTGTGCCAAGACATGGCCTGTACAGAAAAAAACTGTAGAAATCATATACGAAGAATTTTATGCACAGGTAAATTACTGTTGAAGTATTAATTATTCCTGGTTTTTAATTTTGCCGATTGCAAAATTGCAACTAGCATGGTTTCTATTATTAAAAGAATGTAATGATTTGTTTTTGCATTTGATCCTAATCTTATTAGTATTTAAACGCTGTTGGATATTTCTCATTTCTGTCAGTACTTGCTCCCAAATACCTACTGTGTTTAATTGCAGGGTGATTTAGAAAAGAAGAAGGGTGGAGTGCCGCTGCCAATGATGGACCGTGATAACGCACACAATCTGCCAAAAGAACAGGTAACAATTGAATTGCTTGCAGTAACTGGTACTAAAATGAAACAAACTTCAAATATTTTTTTTCGCAAATCTATTCTTATTCAGAGGAATTCACCCAGCAGTGAAGAGCCTGACCAAGATGGGTGGTAATAGTTTAAATGTTTTAAATCAGTAAATTTCATTTCAGGTAAATTTCCTCAGGATATTCTGTGAACCACTGTATGGAACCCTTGCAGTCATATTTCCACATCTGTCGCCATTACTGGAAAACACTAAGTAAGTATTAAAACAAGCACCAGGGGTTTCCCTAACTTTCAAATTAGGAGGCTAAATTAAAATAGTATGAGGCTCCCAACGGCTGCGTAGCTTCGCAATGCAATGCGAGCAAGTTGCTTTCGGGGGGCAGGAGTGGAGTGCCCCTCACTAGACCGAAGACTTTTAGAAAGTTAAAGACACATTTGGTGGCAGGTTTGAATATATTTTTGTTCATGTTGCATGTGGGCATGTGGTTTAAATAAAGACCAAAATTGTAATTTGTTTATTGTGAAAGATTTTATTTGTGATCGTTTTATTTATACATTTTATTCCCGTCTTGTTTCCCTGTGCGATCCTATGTTTTGGGCGCCATTTTTCCAATCAACCATGTTTCAACAGGTGTGACCTATGACCTGCAATTGAAATCTGCAACAGTAGACTGCCCTGCAAGATCATGTAGACGGCAAATAAGCCGGCAACCGGCTTCTAACGAAAACCCTGAAGCACTCTTCTCAGTATTTACTAGTGATTCTTAGGAAAAATAAAATAGTGTTTCTGATAACATTGTAAACAAAAATAGGGTTTGAAGTTTGGAGCATGGAAGGACAGGAGAGAGAATTGTATTGTTCTCCCATGTTCCATGATCGCTTGATTTATTTACCCATAATGCTATTACATCAAGCTTGGAAGCAGTTGAAGTTTCAAATCAA